CACAGAGGAATGAAAAGGAGCATGCACAAGAACAGGCGCTGACATCAAAGCAGGACGGTCTTCCAGGAGCAGGAGAGCTGACCAGAATAGCAACATCGGGTGGCACACGGGTTTTAAACTTCAACCTTGTACAAAACCCAGGGCTAAATCATTAACTGTTGGACAAATAAGAAAATATTGCCTCCTTCCCAAGGTGTAGCAATTTGTAGGATAATTCCACCAGGTCCCCCTTGGTTTTATGTGCTCACGACCAGTTACTTATTTCACCATTTATCTCCCTTTTCCTTTGTAGGAGCGCGGAATTGCGCTGACACCATTCCCGGGGCCAGCAGCACCGCTGACGCCAAACGCCAGATCCCCACCGACACCATCGGGACTCCTCTGCAAGCCTGCTATAGCAGCAAGCCCCGTACTGACAACATCTATTGCTGAAACATAGGAGTGTTTCCTCAGGAGAAACCAAAACAAAGGGCACGGAAAGAGCACAGCGTTCAAAGAATACCTACACCTTCGGCTGCAAGCTTCTAGTAAGATATGAAACCACGTTTGGTGCAAAGAGCCCAGCACTCAGACATGGCAAGGTTCTGCAGGGAGAGCTAACCAAGGAAGTAAACAAATCCGAGAGGCAGGAAGAAACGGGGCTGACACACACTGTACATCCAGCACCACTTCAGTGCTGGCTTTGGCAGCAAACGCAGCTTCTCTTATCAGCAAAGATACTTCGAAGCGGCTGGCAAGCTTCCACCTAACACTCAAACAAGTAAGACCCTCCACACTGTAACGCAGCCCTGGAGAGGGATCTCTTCATCGTAAGACGTGAAGAGAAAAACTGCATGAGACAAAACCACAGACCACGCAGGCTTCCCACGACACTGCGAACCCAAACACTGTGAACACAAACCCTCTGAAAACCTGTGTGTAATGCAGGCACCACCACTGGCATTTCAGAAAGTCACTGATTTCAAGACAGACCCGTCCAAGCTTGACCGTCAGCGCTGCTGTGCCCGTCACATAACTGGTCCGAGGGGTCCAAGAGTGAACACACGAGAATCTGTCTCAGCCTGAGGATTCTCCGCCGCAGTCGCTGGAAGAGACAAGCCCCACGTTGCCACCACTGCTGATGCTCTCCCGGATGGAGAGAGACCTGGTTTGCCCACCCTGGGCTCCGGGCTGCTCCGGCTGCAACACAGCCAGCTCCCACCCCACCTCCCTCCGCATCTCTGCTGCCCTTGAGGCTGTGCTTGCTTCCCAGCGCAGACCTTATCACACCCGTCCAGGCCCTTTGCAGCCTTAAGGCTGGATTGCAGCCGCACGCTGTACTTAGATCTCCCTCACTTAAAAAAGCTCACCACTTCTGACAGCGCAAGATAGAGCAACTCAAGAGTTCAGCAACAAAAGGGATCTTAAGTACATCCTTCTTACCCAGTCTGTCCTTCCTAGCTCACCTGCTCAATCCCAGCATGATACAAAGCACTGGTTCGAGAATGTCCCAAGTTATAAATGGCCCAAGAAAAGGACCTCATGCATCAGGATTTTCTTTCAACCGCCCTCGGCAAATGAGGATCTCTATACCACTATCCTCTCCATATTTCATAGCATTATTTACAACCCAATGAGTAGTTGCTAAATGTAAGTTACTAGAACAGCTGCAATCAGCCATGTGTAACTTCTTTTAGAAGGTATTTTCCAAACAGAAGTGTAAAAAAAAACCCTGTTCCTCAGATTTTCAAATAATCAGGTGTCCTTGTTTTTAACACAGATTCCCTGTGTAGCACGACACGAAGGACAGAGAGCTCCCAAGCCAGCAGCAAGATTGGTAGCACAATACCAGCAGCTACAGTTTCCACTGGAAACCAGTAAAAACCAAGCTCTCGTGTTAAGCCAAACCCTGGAGTGCCCGAACAGCATCACAGCTAAGGCTCTTCCTCCTGCAGGCTGCATTTCATTAAACTGCAGTGCATTTTAGCTTGACTATACTGCATGCGTTAGATCAGACAGGAGATAGTGTAGAATCAGTGAATGAGCTGGAATGACCGCATGGCACAAGAGAGGCCGGAAACTCAAGTCTCAGAAGCAATACAGCCAGTCATTTCACTGATGTAGCCTGGCTAATTAGACCTGTGGAGAAGCGACATAAATTTGCTGAGATGTAGCACCACACTAATTCAGCCATACCATTCAGAGTGCGTTCACATTTGGTTTTTGATTGGGACCTTCAAATTTGCCTTCCACAGCTTCATGGAACGTTTTGCAGCAGGGCACAGTAGCATTATTTTCCTGTATAAACCACATCTGTTCTCAGACTGCTAAAAAGCACTCAATTTTCTGAGCTGTTACATACTATGGTAGCTTTTCTCCATTTAAAAAATGGGAAAAGATGTCTCAAAAGTTTAAAAAAGGATGGGAGAAGCTAAGGGGAGAGGAAGGAGAAGGTTCTTTTAGATTTTCTCATCAGTATGACTAATTTCCCCTTGGGCTAGTATGGTTTTAACTTCTGGTTATATGCCACTCCTAAATATCTTGCCGATTCACCTAATTATAATTATTCCCCTTCGATTCCTACAGATACTGATCAGAAAGGCACCTTGGCTTTGCCAGGGACTTGCTGAGCAACGCTGGATAAGTGACTTCATCCATTTGTCCCTGGTTTTTCATCAGGGAAAAGGTACCATTTGTCTGCTTGTGGTCCAGAGATATTCTGAAGATTGCCTGTACTGCTCTTGGGATATACCGAGTACTATAAGCATGCCACGTAGGGGTTTTATAAGTGGATAGCATTTTTTTTTAAATCCATGGAACATAAAGCTGTTGCAATATTTTAACCACACACCACACCTGTTTTCCAGCCTACAGTAGCTTTGTACCAACTCATGCTGCTTCTTGCAGCTCAGGAAGGTAAGGGTAAGAGATTCTAGTGAAAAAGCACAAGTCGCAGCAGATCCAAGTTCAAACAAATTTCTCTATTTGTCAACTGCTATCTTATTCAACTATGTGACACTCTAGATAAGACAGGATGCAATTTTTGTTTTTAACCACTAGCACAAGTGGAATAGCAATCTAATACCTGCTTTGGCCTTCAGCCAATTTGGTATGCCTGGCAAACAGTCAGACAACAAGTAGTTGGAATTTAGTAACAAGTGCCTTTTGTTAGCACAAATTAACACAGAGTTCGCGTTTGGTCTGTGAGAAAGAAACCAGAGGGGTATTTTGTTGTTGGCCAGCTATTTGTTTGTTTTTTATTCAGGTCCTGCTGCCCCAAGTAAAATAAAACAGGGCAAAACCATGCTTATACAAGGGGCTGAAAATGAAGATGCTAGTTTCCAGCCAAACTGGGATAATATCAATTTCCATGTGCTACTCTGCCGAGACATTTTCTCATCCACCTTTCTCAAGCACAGCTCTTGCTGAAATGCAGCGAGGAGATTACTTATCCTTTGGAAGGATTAGAGGAATTGAAGAGTAACTGCCATTCAATAATCCCGTGTAAGTATCTAATGAACCATAACATAATTACCAGAAAGTTTTAAAAGGTCAAAAAGGCTTTAGTGTGACTTTATTTGAAAAAGAGAAGGTTCCTCCTTTGCTCGGGCAAGGTCTCAAAAAAAGAAGCAAAAGAGAAACAGAATGTAACACTTGAGTCTCTTTTTCGTATTTCGTTGCTATCCGTTAGAAACCTCAAGAAATACACAGAGGACAAGGAACACAACAGTGCACTTGCATTTATTTTCATTCTCTTACAGAAATCAGTTGCCAAGACACAGAAATACCTGCTGCAGAAGAGCAAATGCATCCTGCTCTCCAGGTAACACACAGCAAGATGCTGCTCCTTCAAGTGCACCTTGACATGAAATCTCACACACAATATTGAGCATTGTTCATGTTCTAGCAGTCTAACAGGCTGCATTATATAGACTCTCTCTATCAGTTAAAGCAATATAAAGATGTTAAGAAGTATCTGAACACTCTTTCCTCAAGACATTTCAAAAGACTGTCAAGACCAGAGTGAAAAGCCAGCAAGGCCTCCAATTATGGCCAACTGCACCTAAACAGATTTTAATTTTAAAGTACATGCTACTCACATGACTCTTAATATAACTGACACCACTGAAGGCAAAAAGACAGACATGAAAGTACGCTAGGAGTTTTTTATCAAAAGTGTTCCTCTTCCATTTCTCTCTGAGGCAACGTGATTTAGGATCAATCTCCACAGAAAGCTCGAGTCCTTCTGCAACCCCCTTCTCTAGGCCTTGCAACAGTAGAAATACCTCTCCAAGATCATGACATATTGCAAGGATGTGGGGAGTGGGGGAAGAGAAATTCCTTTCAAAGTTAGAATTGCAATGTTTTTAACATGTTACCTAGCAGATGTTACAGTGATTGACAAATCTCTGAAGAGACTAGCCATTACCATTTAACAGGAGTTTCAAAGCTTCCAGATCATGTTTCTTCAACTGGAAGAACAGATTCTCAATAGAAAAATACTTCCAGGTGGAAATCAAGTGGAAAGAAAAGGAAAAAGGCTAACAAAAAAAGACCTCAACTGCATTTTCTCCTTTTTCCAGAGAAGGACAATACATCCTTTTATTATCTAGCATGGTAGGAATCCTAATTTTTCTTTTAACAGTAATTTCTCCTACATGGCAGATATAAATTTTTCTTTAGAGAGTAGTTCTTGATTATATTCAGTTGAAGACCTCGAGTGTTTCTGCTTATTTAATAGAAGTTTCAAAACTGGTACAAAACTGTGAAAAGGTTAAGAAGAAAAAACATGGCCTGAATTTAGACCAACAAATATCAACTGACCACTTTTGCAAAGATCCTAAAATACAAGAAGAAACTAAAGAAATCAAAGGTAAGTCGAGCAGAGTTATCCCCAAAGAGGAAAAGCGTCCCACGCATTAGGCACAGTCAACAATAAATTGATCCACCAGAAGTAATAGCTAAAACTTTGTATTTCAGAAGGGCCAAACAAAAATACATGCAGTGTAGCACTCAGTTACCTTCTTGAACAGGCGCCCCGAATCTTCGCTGACCTGGACAAAGCGTGGGATGATGTTGTTGAGATAGATGTCACTTAGGGTGGTGTGATCCCTGCTCTCCCGCTTCACTTGATTTAGCAGGAGATTCCAGCAATTGACTGGTGATAGCACATTCTGATCCTTCCTATAAAGGACACAAAATAGAAACAAGAATTGGATAGAACTTTACCTGCAGTGGTCAATATGATTCTGTTTGTGATGTTCAGTATCTATAAATGCTAGAAACTCAGCTATGGGATGTATGGATTCGCTGAGGGAGAGGAGAGCAGAGGAAGGCTAGAAAATGGCTATTGCACATACAGAAAATACGCCCTTAATTACCCATGACTACCTTCACATGGCCGTGGGCTTTTGTCCCCCAACAAACAGATCAGGCAAATGCAGGCTACAGTATGCCAAATGTAGGCTCTAATTTTTTCTTTTGAATGCAAGATTTTGTGCATAAATTACAGTGCCTGAGGGAGAGCGATGGCTCCAGTGTCTGACAATAGGTTTCACAGCGCTGTCTCAGGCATTTGGATGCAACCACAATAAAAAGATTTCAAGCATCCAGTTAGCTAAATAGCATCTGCATAGGAAACAAAATGTTATGTTTCATGTACAAAACCAATTATGTGCAAGTATCTGTCCTGAGCAAAAGAGAAAGCAACATTCGTACAACAAGCTTTACTTTCTCATCTTTGAACTTTCTCCATCTTATTACGGCTGATTCACTCTGCACCCTGCAAATAAGCAATCCAAAGGGCAAAAGGGGAAATGACAGGAACCTCAGTTTATTTGGATCAACATTTCATCTCCTGAAAGGAGTAAGTCATTTCTTAAGGCACCGTTTCATACTAGATGAAAGCAAGGACGTTAGCAGTGATTTTGCATGGTCCTCCAGCAGCCCTGCAGCAGTGTTTGGAACTGGCAGATCCAGGTGTAGTCTTGACTACACCATTTATTTCTCTCTAGATCTGTTTATCATGTGTTTACAGTACAATAATATTTATTTAGAAAAGAGCAAGTCAGATCTCTGGTGGAAAGCCAAAGCTGCTCTTGATTATTGTATGTGGTTGTATCAGATTTCTTTCCTCTTAAAGAAATGCAGTTTAATTTCCATTGAAAAAGGGAATATTCTGCACTTAAAACGACAGCAATCTCTGTCAGAAATGTCTGACTTTGTGAAAAAGTAAAAATTAAGCCATGGCAAACTTTTCATTTTTTGTAGTGCAATACAGATAATTTTAGATAAAGAATAGTTTCAGAACAGCTGATCTTGATGCTTTTCTCCTGAAAAAAAATGAAGCGCTCAGGAAATAACTGCAGCTTGTGAGCTGGACTGCTTCAAGGTTTGGAGTGTGTGTGTGTGTGTGTGTGTAGTGGGAGGGTGTATAAAAAAAGATTCTGAGTTTTTGGTTCTGCCGGTGTTTTGAGTGGAAACAAATAGAAAATAAAATGTGAGAAGGCATAGATTTTCTTTAGAGACAATATTTTTTTTTGTACTCTAGTGTCCTGTATTGCAGATACTGCTGACATGCAAAACCAGATGGAATGATCAAAATGCAGAACTATACAAGGTTGAAACTGCCAGATGTTAAGCCATATAAATCAAATAGTTGCCCCCCGATCTGCAACCAGTGTTTGCAGCATACTGTTTGTTTTGTTACTGTGCCAGCGAGCTAATTAGTAACTGCGAGACCCAACTAATAGAATCGGGAATCTACGGGTACTGACCGGGCTGCAGCCAGCCCTCGAAGGGCACGCGCAGATGAGGAGCCGTATGATCCGACTCCCGCTGAAACAGAGATAAAAGCTGCCACCACAAGAAAAGGTCGATACATATTAAGGTTTTTTGGGGTTTTTTTGGTGTTGGTTTTTTTTGAGGTGAGACCAAAAGCAACACCCAGCTTTCTCCCACTGCAGAGAGGGGAGGAGAAGAAAAGGCATCTCCAGAAAGCGCTCCTCCCAGGAGCGGCGCGGGGTCGGAGGTGCACATGCCATCCGGAGGGCCACCGCCTCTACCAACCGACAGACTGTGGTTCAGGTAGAAGACAGTAAACTAAGATAGTATTGTGGGTGGTCGTAAAGAGAAGTTTATGAAGGACAGTATTAAAAGATGTTAAAGGTTAGCTGGTTTGCTCCTTTATACCAATGATATCGAAGTACTTTACGCACTGACTTAGTATTTGCCCTCTAAAGCTCCAAGAGCTACAGCAAGTGAAAATTAATCAACTACCATAAGAAGTTTGGGAATGAAACCTAGGAACAAAAAGCTCAGACTCTCTACCAGCTGATCTTGTTCTAGCTGTCCAAAATCCTGCCTCAAAATCCTTAACAGCCTATTAATGCTTCATCCCGTTGCTGCTTCACTCTCTTCCTAAGACCAGGGCGGCTGCTGATCTCTAAGTGGCCAGAAGCAGCCCAGCTGCACGCAGAAGTCCTGCTAACTCGCCTTCTCGTTCACCTGCACGAGCTGCCAACCCAAAACCTCAGCTGTTTTGATCTTTAATATCTCCCATCGCATTCTCCATCCCGTTAGGAATTTTCGCTATCTACTCCACCGAGCGCACCTGGCTGCTCATGGAAGCCCCCCCGAGATATCAGTCCAGCCCCACCTTGGGCAGCTGGGAAGGGCCATGAGCAGCAAGGACCGAGGGCTATGGCTGTAGACGAGAGTACATGCGAGGGACCGGCGAGCAGCGCAGCGCGTGCCTTGCTTTCCAAAGAAAACTGAAGCACCGAATAGGAACCAGAAGAGATGCAACAGTTAACTGGACAATTCCCAGCTGTCCAGGCTGCCCTACCACAACACCCGAAGCTATTCTAAGGCAGCACATAGCACAAATACCAAGAGCCCATGAAAAGCATGGTGAGTAAAATTGCTGGTGTCTAATGGCGCCAGATGGGTTGTTGACACACTCCATGTGGTTAGACATGAAAGGCCATCCTGCAGGAAAAAATAATCACAACCCCACATGCTTCCAATCCGCGACCGGGATTGTCACCTTCGGGTCTGCGCAGTGAGCGCTGCGCCACGAGCTCAACCTCATGCAATCACAGCTCTGCGCACTTCCAGATTTTTCGTTCAAATTCCCTTAATTTCTTGGTGTCTGTTGGTTTCGCTAACCCCTTCGGTACCTAGTTAAAATGGTCTGTCTCGCTTTTGTACAGGTCAATGTTTTCACTGCAAGGTTTTTACAGGAAGCAAGATTGAAAACCTCTCCTTCACGATTTGCTAGTGACAATTTTCCTAGCACTGGCAAAAAGCAGATAAAGACAGGCCTTAAGACAGAAGCGAAACAGAAAAGGAAAGAGGCAGTTACTTGCTACAAACCTCCCAAGTAGCCTTTAAAACTACACACACATTAACTGTTAAAGCACCTCTAAAAATGCAGCATTTTCTGGGGTGGAACATGGCAACAGTTTTCACAACACAGAGCAGAAGTTATACAACTGTTTACAACAGACCCTTTTCTATCATAACCACAAGCAGATGGCAGAGAAGCAAATTGCGATTTTCATTAACCATTTCAATTCTCAAAGGAGCTGGCAAATATACTCCACTTCTAGTTTCACGTCACCACAGAGGATGGATGAAAAAGGTAAGAAAAATATGCAATAGGGACCACTGGGTATAATCAAGTGAGCTCCATTTCCACAGATTCTGCAGAATGACTGGAGTCACTACTCACCCTTAAGAAGTAAAATTGATGACATCAACCCAAAACTTTAGGGCCTGGATGTAACTTTCCCAAAGTGCTGGTGATTTCACGTTCACAATAACTGCTTGACTCAAACTTCCCCCGCAAGGAGAGGAGGAGGAGGAGGAGGAAGATGCCAAGATCCAGGTTTATTTCATGCACTATTTATACTCATTTAAAGATCGTGTGATGATAGTGAATCTGGAGAGTTTATTTAGGTTAGCCTAAATTACACCAGTTCACAGCAATCGAGGGCGTTTGGGAGCAGGAAGAGGAAGTTGTGCACAGATTTTTAAGGAACCACAAACTATGAAGCTCTGTGGTTTCTCGGGTGTTATCTTGATCGGGTCTTGTGCAACTTCCACTTCAAAGGTTTCAGTCAGTCTCAAAAGATCAGAAGGGAAGATTGAGTCCAGAGTATCTGCAACTTCTTAATTAAATTACTCATTCATACAAGGAACTCACCAACAATCCAAGATTTATCTGCTTTAAGGCAAGCAGGAGAGCACGACAAAGGTGACACTTAGTTGGGCATTGCAACGTAACCCCGTTCAGAGCAACAACCAAAAAATTATCATAAATAACAACCTCCTCCCCCCATACTAGATTAAAAAAAAACACAAACAGAAACCACACCCACAAACCAGGAATAGGAATACTGGGTTTCCATAAGGAGCACAAGATGAAGGAATGAGTCAGACGAGAATGAAAATATTACAAACTAGAAAGAGAGAAACATTTAAATTAACAGAGGCACGTCACATCATCCGTGTGAACAGAAACCTCTGACCATCCTCCCCTTGAGCTGAGGTTTTTAAAGCAAGTCTGGTGGTACACACAAGAATGGAAGTTTCCTGTTCCACCTCCCTCTCCCCCCAAAACATTCGGGATCTGTCTCCTAGAGGTGCGCAACAGTCATTTCCAGACCTGGTATCTCCAGAAATAGTGGTCAGGATCCTGGGAACCGAGAAGCTGATTTCCCACTCTGCGGAGTCACCTGCATGTACTGCCTTTCCCATCTCAACAGTGTCCCACGGGCACAGGTCTCTGAGCCCTGCAGGGTGCACACGCTGCAGTACTGACCTCATGCCCAGGTCACCTGAACTACCTGCTAAAATTAGATATGGTGAAAGAAGAGATAAAAAGTAAGTTATTTTCAGACCTGTGCAACTGTCAAGTCTACCCTGCAAACCATCAGCTAGAGCAAGTGTTAGAGCGAAGACTTAATTGTTTCTGTATGTAATTTTTCAAACCTGTCTGAATTTTGTGCTCTGCAGTGTGCTCCGTTAACGGTAGCTACAAACACACCAGCCAACACAGTGCAATACTGGGATCAGCAATATGATGAAAAACACCACAAAGATCTTCCGTGGGGTTCTACATCAATTTTCACTGATGATGTATCCCTAGCTCTCTGGGTTCAATGAGATTACTGAGTAAGTGAATGCTTCATGCTTAGAAAAAATCTTCCAAATGTTGTTATTTGAAAGACTCAGAAAAAAAAAGTTCAGGACTTAGCTCCATCAAAAAGAATCACAGGTCAAAATAACCTATGATAATATTTAGTCATAATAATAACAATAACGATAACAACAACAACGTAAATGAAGTCCACCTGACCCAAATGCTTTTGTCAATACCTCTCTCACAGCCTCTATCATCTGTCCTTTAAAGAAATCATTTCACTTTTAAGAAAAGTAAAGTTGAATTTCTCTGCAAGCTGCTCATTAAGATCAACATTTGATTTCCCCTTAAAGTCTTCCTGACACAGCTCAGTGTTAACTGCAAAATCTGAGAATTACAAGCCTGGACATACACGCTGCTCCCTGCCCTTCTCTTCCAAAAGATTCCAGTTATGAACATCTGTTGTTTACAAGCGCTCAGCCTGAAGGTTGCCAGACCTATTCTGCATCTTCTACTTCAAGGCAAAGGCTGCCAGAAAGCCATCTGAATTTCATGCTGGGATATCCTGGACATTCAGCTCTCCAGCTGACAATTTCTACTCAATATTCCACTTCCAAAGATTATCTTGGTTTAAAACATGGCCTTAAAATAGCACTGTCTTTTCATTTTATCTTTTTTTCCCTCCCCCCTGCCTTCTCCCCCAATTTCTCCCCTGAAAGGAATCACTCAAGGTTTGCCACAGTTTTTATACCGTTAACTGGTTATCTGAATAGGCAAAACCCTTTAGGACAAAATCACGTGAACTAGGAGAACTGAAATCTGGAGTTAAAGATCTCAGGGTTTCACTGAGATGGGAGAGAGCCTTTCTCTGAGGATGGAAGTCAGACCCGCACCCAGCGCTGCTGCCTGCAGGGACCCCTGAGACCCAACAGGCAGGACAGACACCTGAGATGGATGCTGTGATTTAACTGCTACACAAGGGACCTTTAGTTAAGCAGGTCTTTAAGGAGCGATGACTATACCAAACTTGTGACCAACAAACTCTTGTAACAACAGGAGTTACAAGAACTGGGCTGCGAAATGCGGTTTTTTTCCTCTAGTCCTGACATCTTGTGCAAGGATACTTACCAACGGGTACTGAAGAAGCCTTACCAAATATATAAGTTTTGTAAGATTATTCTCTTTAATAGTCTGTTCTAACTGAAACACCATTTTTACAAGTGACTAGGCAAAGTGAAGTCTAACAGCCATGGTAGAGTAGTTAAAAGCAAGTAAAACCTGGGATAGATCCAACTGCCATCAACTCGTATGTCCCCTTGGCTAACCCAATCTGTTCCCCTTCTTCAAAGATATAAAATGAGAGTAACATACACCTACCTCTGCAAATCATTTTAAGATGCTCCAGTGAAGCTAGCTTCAAACTGTGCAACGTGCAAGCACCCTTTAAGTCCACCACTGGCTATACACTGTTTGCTGCTCAGACCCAACCACCTACATTTCAAAACCCATATGGAAAACGTAGCCACCTGATCGGCTTACCCTGTGATGTGGCCACATCTAAGAAAAATAAAACCCATGCAATGCATTTCTTAGAAACCCAACACAAGCCTGCACCTCATGTTGCTTTTTCCTTTAAGTGTGTGCTTTTACCAGCTTGGAGATGGATGGTGGAGGAAGCCACACAATCCAATTTCAAGGGTCAGACTGAAGCCTCCTGCCCTTGACAGCATTCCCTTAAATGAACACATTCGGAGCAACTTGGCAATTACATAATAGCTATTGAGTATGAAAGCACATGCAAATTATAGGGTTACTGCCTGACAGATTTCCTCCTTGACAGTGTGTTATGAGATCTAAAAACAGCAAGTGACACGGTAAGCAGTCACTGAATGATACGGTACCTTCCGACATAATTACCATGTTAGCAAAAGAACATGCTATTACTGTATATTTATAGGGTCACAGCCAGGCAATTACAGAGTAGCCACCCGCCGGTGCACATCTCGAAGTCATGTAATACCAGGCTCCTTAGGAGAAGAGATCTGATGGCTTTGGTCTAGCGGTCTTTCGGGGGCTTCCAAATGAGATTACAGCTTCAGCATCTACAGAAAAGACACCAGCCAAGCTCCCTTCACTATTCAGACAGAGCGGTGCCGGGCATAGGTAACTGTAGTTGGAATTGCTTCCTTACTGATCCCTGCGGCGTTCTGCCACGTTTCTGAACGTTACAGCCAGCAGCAGAAGTGACCAAACAAGTCATAGCCGGAGCTACCCAGGACAGACAGCTTTAAACCCTGTGCCACTACTGTGACACATACTGCCCACAGACCCAGCAGCCTCATAGTTAAGAGTTATTTTTTTCCCCTCATTCCAACGCTTGACTAAGTTAACAACTTGTACGTTTGGGACTCAAACCTTGCAGGGGTAACATATTCCAAGAGCAAGATGCTTTTCTGCCAGCAGCTATCTGCTGCTAATGTAAGCAAGATCAGGAGCTTGAGCGGCATTAGCTCTCTCTCTGCAAAGTGAAGTTAAATGGATGCTCAGTAGCAGGTTTCAGAGTATTTCAGGCAATGCCCTAGACTTGATCAGAAAAGCATGGACATTTAATTCAGAAATTTAAGTGAAAGTTTTATGTGCTGATAAAATCACCTGTCCAATTCAGGCTACAGTCAATAGCTAGGATATTTGAGGTCCATTTTGTCCAGGTATAACTTTATAAAGCCTACCTAAAGTAGCTCAAAAACCAGGGACAGGGGTCAGTGAGGAAAATGCATTAGAACAAGGGAAAAAAAAAAAAAACAAAACAGTATCACAGCCAGCATATTTAATTCGCATGAAGCATGACACCATGTAGGATTCTGTAAAACTCTGGTAAAAACTTCCACATTAAAAATTCACTCTAAATCTCAAAATAGGAAGTAAGCTATATAACTTTCCCAACACTGAAAGGCCGAATACAAAAGAGTTTCTGATGGGATGTTTCATACCATATAGTATAAAGGAAACCACATCAATTTTCACCAGGAATAACAACAAAATAAACTGAAAAAGACCAATCATAATGCAGAGGAAAAACTATAGTTCAAGACATCATTTCTTTAATGCCATCTTAAAGGCCTGTTCAGAATATGTGCAGCTTATAGTTATAAGAATACTGTCACTGTAAAGGAAAAGGAAAAAAAAAAACTACTTAAGACAATTACAGCTCTACAGATATGCAGAATAACTCTTCTCTAACCTGTCAAATAGCTATGCTTGGGAGTCATGCTTTCCTGTCAATGTAGCACAATGATCATTTTTAAATGAGAACAATGACAACAAAGCCGTACAGAAGGAAACTAAAATGGTGCCTACTTAATGGCTTTCACAAAAACAGCTCTAGTGGAAAGGGAAAGCTGATATATCCCCACAGTCCTCCAAACACAGCAACAACAAAAAAAACGAAACCACAGATAATGGCCTGACCCAAGCAATGCTAAAAGTTACGTTGCACTTCGGGCGGAGGCAGACCCAGATGGATCCTCTCAGACCAATCTGTCCAAAGCAGAAATGATTCACATCCCAAGGCCGCTTTTGCTCGGTGTTTTCCCCAGCTGCTACCCTGACAACAAAACCGGACACGCTTGCGCGCTGCCCAGATGTCAGCTACAGGGGCCCCGTGGCTGTGGCTCTGTGCTGGCCACCTACTCACTGGGCTGATGTCTCCGTGCCATGCAGCCTGCACCAGCCCCTTCTTCACCCACTGGTCCTCTCCTGCATCCCCCTTCCTGGGGAAAGCACCCACGTCCCTTCCTCCAGGCAGGAGTCAGTAAATCATGTGGCTTTGAATCCACGAAACCACGTTCAATATACGTTACGTCATCAAACAGCTAAGCGGAGGACAACCAAAGGAGTAAGGTCAGACCAACGTGTAAGTAATGCTTCAAGCAGGTGAGACAATTGATTGTCAATAAAGACATCTTTAAATTTTAATTGAATTCCATCAGTTTAGCATCTAGGGATCCACCACCCCCACCCCAAATGGCACAGCTCTATTTGGACGTACTATTGGCCTTCCTTCTCTACTGTTTTGGAGTGATAGTAGCAGAGATACAACACTCTTAAGTCTTATGCTGCATATGCATAGGATATTGAAAAGAGCGCTGCAATGACAAATCACAGCATGTAACAGATTAGAAACAGTTACTCTTAAAAAAAACAGGCCAAAGCCACTGATACTGAAGGAAATCCTGGCTTTGTTCACCAAATCTGGAGTACAGCTTTGCCCACCTTCCAAAGAAAATTACTCCTTTTCAAGGTACCAGTTTTTACCATGCTGTTCCCTACTGACAATATACAACCTGTCAGGAATTACTGAAATAAAGCTAGCAACCAGGCTATGTAGAAACACAAAATGGGTTCTGTGTTTAATACAAACTTGGGAAACCTTTTATTCTGACATTCACAATAGTGTTGGTACCTACATTCACTACATCAGCTCTCTTTTTGCATTCCTATCCTTGTGACCACACCTACAGGGGAAAAAAGGGCAAAAACAAAAGGCATATACTCTACTTGAATTGCTGGTCTTTGGTGCTCCTAGTTTTGGCCAGGAATCTCTCAGCCAACTTCTCCAAATTCCTTGAGTAATCCATCTCAATCTCTGCCTTCTTGCGGAAGAAATCCTGCAAGTCCTGCAGTAACTGGACACGAAGCTCGCACTGTTGGTCAAGGCATTTCAGCTGCTCTACCAATTGGGCACGGATCTCTGTAACAAATAAAAGCACTGAAGATTAAACAAAATCCCATTAGAGAAAACACCATAAAAATTCTCCAGTAAAATACAGTTAAAAATATGTTCTCTCATTAGAAATATGTCCACTCATTAGTAATATGTCAGCAAAGCTCCATTATGATTAACTACATCTGCAGACAAAAAATGATTGCAACTGCATCTTGGATGCACCAGTTGCAGGAAAACCACCCAATAACCTGCAAGCCAGCACACAGATCTGCAAGTAAAGCTTTACCGCTGAAGAGTGCATCAATTACAAGTGCATTTTTGGCATTGAAAAGAAGTGGTCACTGCCTAAAAATGTACTGAATCTCAGTCTGGAAAAAGGACTGAATGCTGCAATACCCCACGTCAGCTCAGAAAATCACTTCAGGGAATTTCCATCAAATTCCTTTGCAGACTATTCTTGATGCAGAAACAAGACATTGTGCATACTGGGGCACTCCCCAAAGGCACCAATTTTGGATTATTCAGTTGGGTACTGACTATCCAACTGTGCAGCTCTCATTATAAACCAAGCCATCGAAACAGATAAAGACGCCCCTTTGGAGAGCCAACATGACAGCACTTCCCATTAGGGAATTATCTCCAGGAAGACTGTTTTCTATTTAAAATATCTGCAAGTAACTTATCTATGTCTAAAGGACCCATAGAGCACACAGATATAGGTGTTGTTATTATTATTATGCATAATTATTACTGAAGTTACCTATTTGTATTAACACAAGATTTTACAAACAGTTTTCAAACATTCTACAAGTATGAAAACTTCTCACATTATCCCTTTAAACCCAGCTGTTAATCTCCTTATTTTACTGATTCTGAACTTGAGGGACAGAGTAGTGACATGATGGACGAACAGTGCAAGAAAACAGAACAGAAATGCATCAGTCCTTTAGTCTAAAAACGCAGAAATATTCAGTGATGCTGCTAGTAGACATTATTTGGCTTTTATACAGGCAATAAACTCAACATGAAAACAGTAAAATAGGCACTTTCATCTAAAGATCTTTGAGCACTCAAACTTTAGAGATGCCTGCTATTGCTTGACTGTTACTGCTGCTCTTTCCAAAGGTTATCAGAGACGTGTTGTTCTAAGCTGACTTCAGAATCAGCAATAAAATAAGTAACATTCAGGTCTTCAGCATGCACCGCTTTGTTGATGTCTATGCATTGCAACCGTAGGCACCCACAACTTCGTCACCACAACTGAAAATGGGTAAGTATTATTTTCCCAATGCAATTTTTTAATCCACTATTTCACTGTTAATTCCTGAGATACGGAATAATGGGGGCCAGCTTGACCTCCTAACTATGCTTGTCCCTTGGCCCAGAAATAGCATCCCATCTGGACCTCCGAGCGCTTTACTCTTGCCATGCACCATGAGTATCAGTTGCCTTGAGTTGTGCTCACATCTGCGGGAACAAAGAGTTTCAGGGGGTCCAGGATTTGCAATGAAGAAAGCAGGCATCTTTATTTTAGGGACTCCAAAACCCAAAACACGTCTACACAAACACGGCTCCTAGTTAGGCTTGCCAACACAACACTAAAATCTGCAAAAATGTGGGGTTTTCAAGCTTGAAGATGACTTTGATTAGCGCTTTAATTAGGTAGTACCACTCCTCTGAGACTGTAGTACCCAGGGGCTTCTGTAGTTTTCACTGCGAGGAGAACAATACAGGCAGCAAGGTCATAAGACAGCACAAAACGGAGTAGTCAAAACTGCAACGTGTGGGCAAAGTTGGTCAAGTTTGGGGTTTTTTTTCCCCCCTCAGGAGAAAATTTTAGAAAACAGAAGACTTCTGTCACTTCATCGGGAAATACAACTACAAGCAAATACACAGGCCTGAGCTGTCCACATAATTCTTTAATCAAAACCACTTCAGCATGCCCGTGTCCCCGGGCCCAGGGAAGCCCCGGCTCCGCTTCCCTCTGCAGCCCCTCCTGCAGCAGGAGGGGTGCGGGTTCGCCCCTGGGCAGGGGTCTGGCCCTCCTGGGAGGGCTGCCTGCAAGGGCGCTGCAGAGACAGCCCCGGAGGAAGCTACAAGGAACCTCTACCCTACAGTGCTCGCGAGGGCACAACCCTCGGTCCGCAGGGAAGGCAGCACCGGGAGGCACAAGCAACCGGGTAAAAACCTGTGTATTGCATTTTTGGAAGTTTGTGAGATTTCTTTGCTGTTTGCTCGGTTCCAGCTAGCAAAAGTATTTCAGGATTAGCAGGGGCTGGGAGGGGCACAGGGAAAGAACAAATAGTTATGTACATTAGACCTGCTAGCACTCATGTAAAAATCGGCTACTTGATGCTCAACATAAGCTATATACATATCTATACCTCCCTGCTCCATTCAGCTCAATCCCCAGTTACAAAACTACTAACGGATTTGCTAAACTCTGTACAAGTGACAGGTCTAGTCCCGTGCAATGCAAACAAGACAACCCCATTCTACCTGTGGCTTTGTCATTAAGACTTTCATAAAGAAAAGAAGGTGAGGTAACTAGACAATAATAGCCCCAAAACGTGCAGTAACATAGCGTTTCCTTGCTGCAGTGAATCAGTCTGCCTAGTTCTTAAGCTAATGCTCATCTGTAGGTCTGACATTCAAGAAAGGCAAGTAGTAGTAGAAAGCTCTTCCTCCCTTTGTGTCTTCTCCTCCACCCCTTCCTTAATAAAAGGGATGGTCCCAACATAGAAACAACTCTATGACCTTTTCAGAAGTCATGGGGCAAAGACACATTTTAATAAGCTATGGCTTAGTCCCTAGCCCCATGAAAAGGTATCACACAAAGAAAATACTTGAGCAAATCTGTCATTTTCTGCTAAGCAGACAAAGAAAGAGACACAGAATTCAAACGCAACAAGTATCTTCCTTGTATGCGATGTATTTGTGTATTTAGGGCTTGATCACCTGCACAGCATTATTTTTCAGAAAGTCAGCTACACTATTAGATGTAGTTAACATCTGTGTTACATGGGTGAACAGTAGGCACTGTGTTTAAAAAGAGGATTGGAGCAGGAACAGCAAATACCAGATGCAACTCAGGTAATGCTGTGGCCGCCTACCCTTCTCTGTGCTACAACTGATGGATCTTTTACGAGGGGGACAACTTGGCAAACTGATGTTCTCCATCAGACACGTTCTCAACTCAGAAACTATCTCCAAGAGGAAAAAGTAGAAATACAAAGGACCACTTCCAAAAAACTAGTAGTTCTCAAAGATCAGCAGAGCACATGTATGTTAATTATAAAATTACGATGAAGCTCAAGTTCAAGGTGGGATACTTCACACACAGCCCTCCTGCTAACCAGCAGCAAGAACCAGTAACCTCTTTAGTAAGAAATGCGATATCAGCACTTTTTCTTTATAAATAAACTCAGTGTTTTTTGAGGGGAACAGTGACAGCTGATCAGGCTGCCCGCAGGGGAACAATAAGCTATTCAGCTCCAGCTTATCGAGTCTGTGGTGCTGGGCTGGAGAAGGGCAACCTTGCTCATCTTTCAAAAACACACTACACAGTACTTTGCCACAAAATAAAATCAAGAATGCAGGAATTTCCTGAGGCTTACTGGGCTTTCTAGAGTATAAAGTGTCTGCTTGTTTTCCCATTGCTTACACAAGCAGAAGATGTTTTTTTCGGACTTACTCTGAGAACATACCATGGCAGAGTCAGAGGCTGTGCGTGCTCTAACCCGCAGGTCACCGTATTACACAGGACCTTTTTATGCCTGCAGTCACAACAACCACTTTAATTTTGAATTCACTGCTTTCGCATCTTTTAATTTACACAGGTTATTAGGTTAACAGCCACTTTAAACACCAAACAGCCTTCCACCTCCTTTCCTTTTTCAAAACTTGTAGACCTTAGTGATCCCACCCACTGTGATCATTCAAGGCAAGGAACAGCATCCTAAAGACTGTGCTCCTGCTGCCAACACTTCAGGTGCCTGAGGGTGAATAAGCCCGTTTAATTCAAGGTCAAGATGCCTGTAGTAGAATGAGTATTAAACACCAGGTATTCTTCTCACACTAAGCCTTGCCCTGTATTGCAGAATCCTCTCTATCATATTCCAAGCTCACGTGGCTGACAACTACATAATCAAAACGTTCCTAGTAGCAACAGGAAAGTTTTCCATTCATTTAAAACAAACCATTTATTTACTTCCATCACCAGATCATAAAGTCACCTAGGTCACTGAAGGACAGAGTATTGTATAATGCTAGACAGTTGCATAATTTTACTTCTATCCTTTCTGCAACTACCTTTTCAACATTCCCTGTAATGCTCGGCAGGCCTCTCTAGTTATTCATGAATTCGAAGGGTAAGGAAGGATCTTCTACCTTCTGTGTTTTAGTCACATTTATCATTCTCAACATTTGCAATCTACCTGACTTTTTTTTCCTTTTTAAACTTTGAAGCATATAAAGTATTGATAGGCACAAATGATACTGCATTATCATGAAGGTAATTGTCCCTGAATAAAATGCTGGCATTTAAGTGATGGGACCTTTAATACTTCCATGGAAAGGTCATCACCAGTAGTTTCCATCATAGGCAAGTTAAGAGACACACTATGTTTTATGCTACCACCATATCTGGTCGTATCTTTAAAAAATACGGATGATCTTCATGAATTGATTGCTCCTGCTTGAAAAAGCCTGCTAGCTTGAACTAGGTGAGTCTCTAGGTGGCTAGTTACAAATCTGAGGTCCCAAATCACTCCTACCCTACAATCTGGGGAAGGATCCAGTACAGGAAATTAAGAGTAGGTTATCCTTAATTTCAAAACCTTATACCTTTTGTTTTGTTTATTTTTACACTTGAGCAGATTATTAGAATTGTGGTGCAATTACGGACCTCTGCTGAACAGGAGGGGGGCTTCTGAAACAACACCAAACAGGAGAGGTGTTGTTTTCTACAAAGCCTTCTACAAAGCTCCTGGCAGGAATTTGTGATATCATAAAGCAATTACACCCAGAGCAAGCAGATATATACACTCTGACTGGAACTATATCTTGCTCATCTACAGCATTCAACGCTCGGCTTCTGAAAAATAAATTGTCAGAATGATTTTTTATTTGGCTTAAGCATCCTATAAACTAAATTTGGAAGTACAGAAACAAAGAAATTTCAGTACCAGCTTGTTCATTCTTTGGTAGGTCATGTACAGAGCTAGAAACATGAACTCAGACCCAGGAGACCTCCTTGCCCAGTCATCTCATACAGTCTGAGCAACGCTCCTGGTCCAAGCAGGATCATCTCCCTAGGCAGGGTTTCAACTTTTCCCAGCGATAAGCTTTAACTGCTCTAACTGGATAGCAACACGGTGACTCACAGCCTGCACAGCACAGAGTACCGGGAGAAGGCACAAGCAGCCTGAGCTGCTTTTCAGTATCTAGCTACATCTCCATATATCTGCACTGTAGCTTTCTCAAGATGTTCCCACCCCTATCCCAAATGCCATGCTGTATAAAAAGATGACAAGCTTGGGAAAGGAGTGGGATGACAACAAAACAGAACCACCAACCCCCAGCTCCCGCCCAGATTAAACAGCAATCCTCTCACCCACACAAATCCGCTCCAACTGGCAGAGCTGAACTCCAAAACCGTCCACGCTCTCGCCTCGACTTAGTGGTCCCCCATGGCTGCGCTGCGCAGAGTGGTCCTCCTCCCGTGTTCGTGCCATGCAAGCTCAATACAAGAAGGAGGAACATCAAAAGCCAAGCAAAACCAAATCAAACCATGAAGGGGAAGGCAGAAGTCAGCAGGTTCAAAACCTTGGCGGGTAGCTCGGTTACCCCCGACTTTTCAGGACCCCCACCCAGCACATAAGAAGGACTGCAAGTCATCAAGCACTAAATTGCACACACAGCTCTAACACAATCTTGTCTTTCAGGCTACTCGGCAGCTTATGAGAGACAAAGCAGTCCAAAATGAACAAAAGCTCCACTTGATACAGAAGACTGAAGCAGTAATTTTACATCTTGTGCCTTGTTCACAATGACTTTCTTAAACCCCCATCTCCCGAAAGCTGCCGCGCACTCGGGTGCTGAGCATCAGAGTAAGGCAGTGGCACAGGCATCCACCTCCCTCCCTTTGCAAACCCCGTGGCAGGTTAAGATTACAGTTTAGTTTGGAGTTAACACTCCGTTCAGTTTCAAAAAATTAAAAACAATCAACACTACAGCTTTAAGTAAAAGTTATAACCATTTAAATACGTAATTTTTAAAGAATGCTTTGGATTACATATTTTGACATTCTCGCAGCACATTACTAATTGCTAAGAATTGTTCACGTTTCCCCTACCAACATATATAAGAAAGGTTGCACTCCAGAAGGGAAAAACTTCGTAGCTTTATGAAAATGGTCTCAGTATTTTTTTTTTTTTTGTACATGACTGCAAACAGGGCTGTGACAAATGACAGACAACAGCCCAACAACCCCGACTATGGCTGGGAGGTTTAATGACTTAGAAAAACCTTTATACAGTAACAGCAAGAATTTCATGGAACAATCTGTGCTGCTAGCCAAAAGCTGTTGATCACCGCAGCCTTAAAAATCTCACTGGTAATCTAAAAACTAGGCTTTGAAGTGAAAATTATATAAGAGAAGGAAATACAGTCTGTTGTTTAAGATCAGAGCCAGGAGGGAGATTCAGGTTCAGGTTCCTAATCCTGTCAGAAAACTTGCATGCCCTGGAAAAGTTAATTTTCCCTTAAAAACCAGGATATTCCTTATCCACTTGAGAAATATTAGCATTGGGTAATACACATTGACAAGAATCCCTTTATAGTTATAAATATATGAAAAAAACCTGTAGGCGTTAGTACCTGAAATTCTTTCAAATACAGCTTGATAAAATTGCTTTGAGATGAACGCATGAAGTTTTGCATCAGTGAAGTGAAAGAAGAGAATGCGAGACATGCTTAAAAGCAAAAATTAAGGCTAGTCTCAGTCTCAGTGAAGTACTGAGGACACTCATCTTCTGTTTTCATACCTACATTGTAATATATTTGCATCACTAATTACTTGGGTCTACCAGCTTCTCTAGGCACAACAAAAGTGGCACTTAAGGAGCGAGGCAGCTGATGCTTTTTGTCTTCGTTACAGTTCTTAACACCTCCATCACAACTGCAAGCTGGAAAATTTTATAACTTCAAGCACCCTTCAGCTAGAATCCCACTGAATGCCTATACATTGCTTTTCCATACCATATGAAAAAACATTCTGCAATTCACAGGTTGCAAACTGATGCAACGCTTCAGATCTGCAAAGCTTTTAAGCAAATATTCAAAATAATACAATTAAACATGTTGACAAAGTTGCCAAGGCATTTCATCCACGCAGAATTCAAATTAAGTATTTAGTGGGGTTGTTTTTTTGTCTAATGAAATAGCCATGAAAGCCTCCTTTACTATTATCAAAGCACAGTCCATGCTGTTGGCTTTTCAGGGAGGATGTTTAAAAACAGAATCCAGATTAAATTACGCTGTGCAGGATTCACTGCCCTAATTCCAACCGCAGAGCCTGTGTAACTCCTCCTGAGTGCACAAGCAAAGTCCTCATCTTTGTAACTAATCCAGTGTGCATAGAAACCCTGATAAAGGTAACACGTCTAAGTACATCAGGCAATATTATATTTTTAGGTTCTACAATGGCTTATTCAAAACAAATAAAAGTTTATCAATACATTTCAAATAAGTAAAAAGCAGGAGCATTACAACTACTTCTGCCTACAGGAAGTTTCACAGCTATTTTAGAATTGTCTGTACTCAGTTAAAGGGTTCCCCCAGATGACATCAAGCCAAAAAAAACCCCAAACCTCAGACAAGCCTTTGCTTATGCTTTCCAACTATCTGAACGCTGAATAAAATACTATGGACAAGTAGCAAAACTACATTTTATCACTGGTTTGCAGCATGGATTTACATAATAAATAACATAAAAGTCATTTTGACGAGCGGACTATTAGAGTAATCAAATGCAACACACACACCCCCAGTTCGTATTTTCAGTACCCAGAAAACAGCTCAGGCTGACCAACTCTTGGTAGCCTCCAGTAACGAGCATCCTGAGTGCCTGTGTGCTCTGGGAGGCAGAAATCGCTTTGGGCCCATTAAGCAACCTGAAATAATATGTTCTCCAAACAACTTTTTAATAGTTATTTGAATGGCTTCCTCTCATGCAGGGTGACACAGCCAACGTTGCATAGATGGCCAAAAATCTGGTGAACATTTTTAATGTAAGGAGTTTTTTCCTGCTTTAAATGCCCTTTCTGCTTTTGGCCCAGGGCAAACCAAGTCTCGCTGAAGCACCACACTCTCGAGTGTTTTTTGTCATACTCTCCTGCTGACTGCTCAAACCTTTCTCCTAGGGAAAAAAAAAAAAAAAAAAAAAAAAGAGATTCTTTCCTCAAACCCTGCTGTGTTAATTACAAAACAAGGTGGTTAGTAGCGCACGGAGCCTGGACGTGTGCTCCCAGTTATAGGAAGTCAACAACAGGGAATAAATGCAGTAAAGAATAAAGCTGAACACATGCTGGACATATTTTCAATCAAATTACTCCCAATTTCTCACAAAACCAAGGCTGGCTACCACTGGAATGTAAGTTTCTGGATCCTTTTTGGGTGAGTGGGGATTTCCAGCGGGTACTGCACAAGGCGCTCACGCTCCGAGGAAGAGGAGTTTGACTCTGGCTCCCCTCCAACCCCAGGACCACCCCTGTCCTCCCTGACCACCCCCCGTTCCCAACACAGGCTGTGCTGTCCAGCACACTACTGACACCATTATTTAACATTTTAAAATCCACAAGAAAGTACGAAGGAGTGGAACATCAAGTCCGGGGAAGGCTCATGAGCAGCGATCATCTTGGGCTTCCCTAGGGAGCATCAGTGCGAGAATTAATCAGACTGACCAAAAAGTGTGGGAAATGCGCAGAAACACCCTTCAGAAACCACGTTAATTCATTTGCAAGCAATGAGCTGCCTGGGCGTGGAGAGGGAGAGGGAGAGGGAGGGAAGCCAGGTACTCATGGCTCTTCATTTCTAAACAGGAAGGGATTTGAATGAAGAATGCTGTACTGCAGTGTTTCACGCTGCACAAAGGAAGTTAAATTCCTCTGTAAAGGGAGAGGCTGGCACATGACTTCGACAGAAATCTCTATTCATTCTAGAATGGAAATCCATCAAGGAGAGACAGCAGAACAGGTCCGTGAGACAAAAGCTGCGTGAAGATGCTGCTGACCGGGTGAGCTCCGCTAGCACGGGGCTCACTGGCTCCCACCCCACGGCTTGGAAACACCCCGCCCCGTGCAAGACTGACCAGCTTCATTCATTTCTTGATGCTGTCATGAGCGTGCTTCACCGAAAGCAGCTTGGAAAACCATACCTTATTGAAGAAAGCCAGAAAAAACAAAGAAGAAAAACAAGCAGCTAGAACTACGTCCTGAAGTCACCATGAAGCAGGACGTATAGGGTCATTCTGCATTTCATCATTCTGCAGCGTGCAAGTACTTCTCCTACACATTACGCAAAGCACACATACAAAAAAAAAAACCACGGAAAAGTGGATTGTAAAATGCAAAATTAAAATGCATTATCTTTGTTTTTAGTTCAGATGCAACAAAGGACGAAGTGGGCTGGTTACCTCTGATTTGCTCAGTCAATGAAGAATCAAGCCTTGGTCTATGCCATTAGCTACCCAACACCAGAAGTTACAAGAGAAATTCTCCATTCCTAACTCCTGCAGCCTTGCTTCAGGCTTTTATACACCCACCTCCACAGGCAGTGTTGGGGACCTACAGTGCCACTGCCTCTTCCTACTGCCCAAGTAGGACAACTAGTTTATGTTCCAAACACTCCTATGCCTTTAACAAATAATTACGCCTGTGCCTCACTTTCTCCATTTATAAAGCTATGCAGGATACCTGACACAAGAGCTCTGTGAGCATTTGGTAAAAAACTCAAGCCTAAACCCCAGCCAGCAGCTGCAGAAACATTCACTTCTTGCTCCCCAAAACACACCCACCAAGTGACGGGTGGCAGAGCTTTTGTCAAAAGAGCTCAAATATTTGGGTGTGACTGAAACACTCCCTTTCATTTTACTTTTTTTTGCCCACAGTGTATCAGTACCCAAATTCAGAAAGGTGGATTTAGGGTTAGGAGAAAGAAGACTTATCTTCCCCCCCCCCCCCCCCCCCTTCTTTTTACCAGCTTTAAAAATAATTTCTCCCATGTACTGTTTCCTGTAGTTTCTGCTGTGCTATCCTGGCCTATTTTAGAAATAGTTTCTCATCACAGCTCCACAGCAGCCCTTCATGACCTCGGTTCTTCCTCCTGCAGTCTGCTCCCCTGCTACACAACATAGAGGAGTTGTTTAATATCCACAGCTCCAGCCCAAGACTTTACACACGTCTTCCTTCGTTCTATCTGAGCACTAAGATTTCCTCTACCAGTGGCGACTCAAACAGAAGCGAAACAACCGCTTCTTTCACTTCCAAAATTTTTTTCTTAAAGTGTTTCATCTGCATTATGTCAAATATTGTGAGGGGTTTATTTTAATGGTGGAACAGTACTAAACTGAATTGAATTATTCATCAGAAATGTGTAATGCGATCATTATTTCTGGCATTTGCCATATGTTCTCACTGCTTCAATTCACTTCAGGAATCCCAAATTAAACTGACTA